TTCCCAAGGAGGGTCACACTTATTAATAACCTTAAGAATTCGTGCCCTTTCATTGGTCGAGAGCCATGATCTATTAAAGGACGGACTCACGGAATTACGTCATTAGTTTTTAAAATGTTGAAAATATTTGAAAATTCCACTGAATTTATACAAATTGAATGAATTCATGCAATTAAATCTGTAAGCATCAATAAATACCTTCAATAAATGTGCCAAAATCACTCACAAAAGCAAGCAACTCGGCAAATCTCAATTCAGCTGCGACTTCAAATTCAATCCGGTCTTCGAAAACAAATACTATTTGACTCATTTGACCCTGTCAATGTCACGATTTCCAGCTGCTTTCTTCACTTCGTGCAACATAGGCAATGTTTAAGTGCTTTTCAATCACCATACTTGCTCAGAACTAAATAATTGTATTTGTTTTGAAACCCCGTTTGTTTTGAATTTATTAACCAGATCGCTCGTTTGATCGAACTGTCGGTGTGGAAGATAAGTAGCTTCAGGGCCTGGTAGCATCTACGATGAAGCGTGCCCAATTTCGCAAGCAGTTCGTAGCGTGTGGAGTTCTCTCTTTGCAATTGAAATATGATCCAGGTTCTTGCTTGAAATGTAACTCAACACTTATTATTGATGACATTGATATAGCAGGAAGTCATGTCATGATATATAGAATTTTTAAGAACAGTTTTCTTGACGACTTCTTGTTGCAAATTACATTTTTGTCACCCGAAACTACAACACATAAGTTTCAATTTTCCAAACACGATAAACCACTCTTCTACCACCCTATCCATAAAGAAATTTTAATTTACCACGCAGAATCTGCACGGCACGTGACCAGCCCCAGCCAGGGTCTTTCTTCCATAAGAAGGAAGAGCCTGGGAACGAGATTGACCGAACGATTGAATTATGCTGTAAACTGATTTCAGTGTTCGAATTTGAAGGGTCAATTTTTGATTCGTTAATAGCCAAAATATCAAAGAAGTAATCAGACAACATAGTGCGAATCTCGTCAATATGTTTGAAAAGACTATGCTGTGCTAAGTGGTTATATTATTACCTTAAAAAACGAGCAGAAACTCGACGTTTCCAGCGAAGGTCCCTCGTCAAGAATCTATCCTCTCATGAGGACAAACTCTTGACGAAGGCCTTCGCTCGTAACGTCGAGAACGCGTTCCAAACTATCTTTGCATTTTCCAAAATAATATTTTTTCGACAAAAACAGCCTTATTTACAACATTTTGCTGACCTCAAAAACTTTTCGTTCAAAACAGCCCAATTTTGCAGATAAAAATACCGCCTCCGTAAAAATTATAATATCTGCAATGCATGCGACAATATCTTACGATTTCAAAACAACCTTGGTTAAATAACGAAATTTGCAACACTCCATTGGGTAGGAAATATATAAAAGTTTCATACAATGTTTTCTATGTAGTTTAGGTACTCTTACTAAAGCAGCCGAGGCCGGGGACTGCAGAAACTAGACGTCCAAAGTATCAGAAATTCTGACACTTTCAAATGCTTCTAAAACACAACACGCTTGGCATAAATTGTTTCAAATTCGGCCTTAATAAATGTTCGAATTTTTGCGGATGGCGCGCCTATTTTTTTGGAGTCTGGAGACGAAATTAATTTTCGAAATGTGCGCTATTTTAAGATAGCTGCGGTGACATGAAGGGTATCCTTAGATAAATATGCACTTGGGGGATGAATAGCGTGTTATTAGGGGATCAGAATGGTACCAAAGTTGCCATGAATACCTTTATTGTTTTGCCGCTTTTGAGCATTCTTTGAGAGCAATTTCGCAAACAATGGCGCATCGAAGCCAAAATGTTAAAATTGATGAATTTCGGCTTCGAATAACTTTTGTTTTTAAGGCCATCCTTTTATAATATTTGGTAGGACTAAATTTATAGCCTTTATCTAAATTCCTACCGAAGCACTTTATTCGATTTCGTCTTTGATCGGAGTAAAAATGCATTTGAATAAGGCCACCAAATACAGCTTTTCGATGTCAACGCTAATAATATAACGTTTAGCGTCTGAGGTTGCGGTCAAAAGAAAGATGGAATTATCGACCAAGAAACAGAAATTGAGGAGATTAGACGAAAAGGTATGTTTGGCATTTGTTTATTGTATTATTTGTACAAAACAAGGGATAATATATTGATATGTTTTGAAAGGCAGGCGTGTGTACTTGTTGACTTGTATATTATATACATTCTTGAGCGCGCAAGAACTATAATACCTATAGCGGCCTATAGCTACAAACCCTTTAATTAACCCTATATTTTCGAGTTTGGAGGGTTTAAAACAAGGGAAATATGTTTAAAATTACGAACAATGTGTTGTATATTATATTTCCACATTGACAGTTGTCACACAGATTTATTATAAGTAGATTGACTAGACAATATGCCATGTTCCATAGGTAAATTCTAAGTTTTGAGGGATTTGTAAGTAATCTTTGAGGGAACTGGCTCAGTGTTACATTTCAGCACATAGCATGCAATTCTGACAAATGTAATTAAACTCTGTTACTATATAAATGTGAAGTTTTTTTAACTTTGAAGTTAGAAATATCTTTTGAATATTGAAACAAACCTATAATTGCTTGCAATGGCAGCATGGTCTAGGTGTTGCATTTGTACACAGACTTGATTTATAGTTTCAGCAATCTATGAACTCATTGAGTCGCATTGCGCCCTCGCCGCCCTGATGGGCCCTACTTTATTATTTTACTTTGTCTAACGCCAGACGATTTTACTTGTCAAGGGGAGAGTGCTGGCGCAGCTTAATTGGTTAACTAGCCTATATGTCTATGTGTCTAGTTAGTGCATTGAGTTACATTACACCCTATGTTATTATTTTACTCTGTCAGTCTCTATCTACCAGCAGACAAGTTAACTTGTCAACGGAGAATGCTGGCGCTTAATAGTTAACTAGCTTATATGTTTATGTGTCTAGTTAACCTATTGAGTCGCATTGCGCCCCGATGCGCCCTACTTTATTATTTACTCTGTCTACCTGCAGACGATTTTACTTGTCAAGAGGAGAGCACTGGTGCTTAAACGGCTTAATGATTAACTACCCTATATGTCTTTATGTCTAGTTAGTGCATTGAGTCACATTGCACCCTGATGCACCCTATGTTATTATTTTACTCTGTCAGTCTCTATCTAACGGCAGACAAGTTAACTTGTCAACAGAGAGGGCTGGCGCTTAATGGTTGACAAGCTTATATGTCTATGTGTCTAGTTAGCCCATTGAGTCGCACTGCGCCCTGATGCGCCCTACTTTATTATTTTACTCTGTCTAACGGCAGACGATTTTACTTGTCAAGGGGAGAGGGCTGGCGCTTAATGATTTAAGTTCTGAAAGTAGCAAGAACCACCCATGTGAGGCTTATGTTTTTATATACCAAGGATACAGCCACAATACATCCATGGATTGTCGGTCCACCTTTTGTGTTAACTCAGTAAGCCGCAGTGTTTCGCAGTGTCACCATCAGTCATTTGCTTGTTTTGTATATGCGATACTGAGTAGATATGTTATGTGCCCCAAAGACAGTCGTGTTTACAGGCTATACCTGTAGTAATTGGGCTACTTTGTTATTTCGGTCTTATATCAGTCAGATATTTAAATTTACCCTTAAACAGAGTTACCGTACTGTAAGAGTATTGGGTTTATCAGTTACAGTGATGCAAGATTTTTAATCTCTAAACCTTTACCATTTTCTTCTAGGTCTTGCAAGGCAAAGTTTATTTACTAATGGCAGAATATTGTGAAATAATGTGTCACTGAGTTTGGATTATTCCTGCCTACTATACTGAACTATATGTGTATTAAGTTTGACTATGACTGTAATATTAACCCTGTCAGTAATTGTCAAGTGCAAGTGAGGGTTGATCTAATTAAAAATGTATTATTATTTGATTGCAAATAGTGTTCTCAATTAAATTGTCTGGTCTAATAAATATTTTTACCAGGACTATTGGCAAATATTGTTCCCAGTATTGTTCTTTATGTTCAGTAGTGTACTAAACATTTGACTATGGAATAACAAATTCATAAACTTTTTTATCCAGTGTGTATTATTTTAGTCTTTTTGAATTGATCACATGTGAACATTTCCTGCACATGCAAACAGCACATTCATATGGGTTTTCTTCTCTGTGTGTTCTTTTATGTGTTAACCCATTGAACCGCAATGCGCCCCAGTGCGCCACATCTATTTCTTTACTTGTCTAACGCCAGACAATTTTACTCGTCAATGGGGAAGCTCTGTCACTTAACGGGTTAAGCACGCTGGTTGTGGAAGTATGAACATCAATGGATACAAAGACATGGGGTATATCATAGAATTTATTTACATACAAATCAAAGTAATTTGCCAATGCAGGAAGTTCAAATAATATACACATACCAGTAAAATGCCTGTCACATACTGATACACAGGCAGTCATAATGGGTTACATACAGTCACTAAAAACACTTTTGATTGCATGTACCAAAAGAGAAATTTATCACCTTACTCCTTAGTATGTCAGCCATATTACTGGTAGTGTGTGTGAGATACTGTATGCTAAATAAAGACCAGAAAGTTAGAACTATGACATGCTAGTGAATATAGAATACTTCAAGTTATCTTTATTAACATTACAGTACATAATTCAAAAATATTTATAACTGTTTCAACTGTTAGCACAGACATGATACTGTAATTCCTTTCAATGTGTGAAAGCTTTCAAAAATTCAATATAGTTTCTTACAAATTATCCATCCTTGTATATTGATTAAGGCAACACTAGTAGACTGCGAAATAGTTTGTAAATTAAGAGATTAGACAAGCCTCCTGACACTGAGCGGTAGGTTTATATAAACTTTCGTTTTAGCTGTTATCGTCCCTACTAGGCCAAGGATTTTTATTTTACGTCGCCTGAGCAAAATCCATTCGATATCACTTAATTAAATCATATACAAGAAGTATTTTAAAATGTCAATGTTCAGAAAGAAATTGACCAGTTTGCCTTTGCCAATCTGTTAATTCGAACGTGATTTTCACATTGAAGGTTTGTTTCGCACATTGACCAGTCCCCATCGTTTGTTTCCGCAATAATCCACAACAGTTTTCTAGTTCACAAGATGAAAAATTCGCCCCAACAGATTTTGCAATTCACTCCTAATCGCCCCCATCTTGAATTTTTTCTATGCTCATGGGCAAGACCGCTGAACATGAAGATCGGCAGTTTGGCCGATTTCGCAACATTTTATGCCAAGCGCGATCGACTGCAGCTTTCTGCATGCAGCTAGGCTCCGGCCGGCTAATACTCCTACATTTAGGAACCATTTTGCGTAAAATATAACAATGCGATTGCCAGAAATTCAACTAGATATTGTAAAGATTTTTGTTCTTTTCCCATTACTCATATAGCTCCGTATTATTGATTTCCCACGTATATGACGGGAAGTTTAAATATTACAATACTCCGCGAGTATTTGCAGTAGAAATACGAAAGTACCACCAAAAAAATCCTCTTGAAAAGTTCTATGAAATCGAACGATGTAAAATAACCACAAATTATAAAATAGGCATACTCGAACAATGTAAACTAACCATACCATATATACAATATACTCGAAGAATGTAAACAATGCATCACTAAGCCATACCTTTCGCCGAATATAACTTCGGCTCCTTTCAACGTATCTTTTTGGTATTAGTCTTGTTCGAAACACAGTCCAACACACTATTTAGAGTGTTATTTTCAAGCTAGTATCTGCAGATTTGCATGTTGTATTTCGGTATTTCAAAATATCTAAATTTTACACGAGTGCTTTGGCCGGAAGTTGAAGTTGAAATATCCGAAACAATGTGATGTTTACATCCCATCACTCAGGAAACGTCATAAATCGATTCTAATGGTCAAAGTATCCCTGTGGCATGATTTTCACGTGCATGGGGCTACGGGTGCTCCTTATTGGCCAATTTTGGCGTGTGGCACGTAAAAACCCGATATTTTGCACCGCTAGCCGGCTAGTTAATGATAATCACCAATTAGTTGAAAATATCAATAAGTTAACGATCGAATTGGAAACCTGCAAAAATAGACTGAATAACATTGAAAGTGGAATAAATTATGACTCAACTCATCATTGCGCTCTCCTGACAACAATTAAACATAATGAAACAAATAAAGTAGACAATAGTAAACCTATCACTAAAGTTTTAAATTATCAACGAGTAGAACGCGGAACAAATAAAGCGCCAAATCAGTCATCCAAATCAATCAAAGTAAAGACAAAAGCTCCCACAATATCAACCAAGAAGCAAGACCATGCATTAATTGTTCTGGACGATTCTGTAAATCACACTGAAAACCTCGCCGAAAATCAAAAATCAAAAAATCAAAATCAAATTTTATTAATAAATACATAAACAGTCTGTATATACAATACTATCCGCTAATAGCAAAGCTAATCGGGGCGGATAGTAGAATGAGATTAAATAAGAATTATAGGATATGCTCGGTTATAATATAAAGTGGCGCAGTATACTGACAGCACAAAGCATCATTTTCACAAAGAAGAATTCCCTATTAATTTCCTATTAATTTCGAAGGATGTACTATTTTCCATGCTTACTCATATATCTAATTAATGTGGGCACATCAGCATAATCGTCCTCAATCTCAAATATGGTTAAAAGACTTTTCTGAATTTTCAAATTGAAATTTTTTCTACCCAACTCTCGAACATCAGTGGGAATACTACTCCAAATTTTAACACCTGATTTTACAAAGGATGTGATAGTTGTAGTTAGTTTTGAGTATTCAACATAAAAATTATTGGATACACAATGTCTAGTGTTATAAGTATGGACTTCTTTTGATTGGATAAAACAATCGGAGATTGAAGATGGACAAGAGCTATTTGAGACGTCATACATTAAATTGCAAATTGTTTTAATGTAAAGCATATTTAAAGGAAGTATATTGGAATGAATAAAAAGTGGGATAGCATGTTCCTTGTTTGTTTTAAAATTCATTAGACGTATTGCTCGTTTTTGGAGAATAAGTATCTTATTCAAATATTTTTTTGCCGCTTGACCCCAAACAGCTATACCATATGTTATATAAGGTAAGATTAAACATCGATAAATGTTTTGTAAGGTAGACAGAGGTACAAAATATCTAAGCCTTGTAATTATACCAATTGTTTTGCTTATTTTGGATGCAATATTGTCAATGTGGTATTTCCATGTGAGATTACCATCCACTATAACACCTAAATATTTTATAAATTCTTTACATTCAATATTAATCAAGTTATTGGAATGATTGTCAAACATTTTTAGTTCAACTTGATAGTCGAGCTTTTTTTGGTGAGAATGAAAGATAACATAGTTGGATTTCTTTTAGTTGAGGGTTAACTTATTTGTGTTTAGCCATTCACAAACTCCTATCAATTCTCTATTGATGATCGTTTCTAGAGATTTTAATTTTTTATCAGAGTATACCAAATTCGTATCATCAGCAAACAAGTAAAATTTAAATACCTCAGATGATTTGTGAATATCATTTATGTAAATTAAGAAGAGTAAAGGCCCAAGGACTGAACCTTGTGGAACACCCAAGTTAACTGTATGTTTTGATGATATGTGACCACCAATTTGGGTTGTCTGTATTCTGTCAGTTAGATAAGATCTAAACCAGTTGTTGATCACTCCACGGATTCCATAATGATGTAATTTGTGTAAAAGTATAGAATGATCAACGGTATCAAAGGCTTTTTTTAGATCTATAAATATGCCACACGAAAATAGACCCTTGTCCAGATTGTTATGAATATTATTTATAATATCAATAATGGCATGCTGTGTTGAGTGTTTAGCTCGGAAGCCATAAGAAGCTCGGAAGCCATGTTTTTATCGAAAAACGTTTTGAGACGTTTAGACATTAATTTTTCAAAAATTTGATTCAAATTTGAAAGCAATGAAATTGGTCTATAGTTTCCCGGATCAGTTTCATCATCATCTTTAAATATAGGAATAACTTTAGCATGTTTAAATTTTGAAGGAAACACTCCCTTTTCGATAGATATATTCATTATTTCTGATAGTGGCCAAGATATTTGGTGTTTTATATACTTTAGAATTCGTATAGGACAAGAGTACAGTCCATA